AAAGTTTGATGCTTTTTTGCTTTTTTTTGAACCTAGCGGCTGCGCCCCTGGACCCCGTGCCTCACCCCTCGAGGCAAGCCCAAACAAGTCCATGTTAGGATCCTAAATTCTTTCGAGAACCTCCTATTTGGTAATGTTGTTCATTCATTCATCCTACTACAATATCTTCTTAAAAAGCAATTAAAATTATAAAATCATTATTTTTTGTGTGAGAACTAAGAATCTAGGACCCTAACATGGACTTGTTTGGGCTTGCCTCAAGGGCTGTGGCACAATGGCGGCTTGTAGAATTAGGAATGTAATATGTTTTACATTACATTAGCTACTTGAAGTAACGCAATTGAGGAAAAAAAAGAGATTGTTGGGTTTTGCATGCTTAAAAATGTTTTATATGTTTGATTTTATTTTTAAATTCTCATTTGAATATGGTTTACATGTTATGTTTATGTATTTTAATTTTAGATAATAGGTTTTTTAAAACATTTATTAAAATTTAAGTTTTTATTTTTTATTAATATTTATGTTTAATATTTGTTATTTTTTTTTTTCATTTTTTGAATTATTTGTCATTTTTTTAATTTTCTGACATTTTTTTTGATTTTTTAGCATTGTTTTTGTATTTTTGCACCTTGTTTCAAAAAGGTACGTGCCTCACCTTGCGTTTTTAAAACATTGGAGTTGACCAAGTCTAACCCTATTGGGGGCCTAACCCATTTTAAGATGAAGATTAGGAAAGTTTTGGACCCAACTACTTTGAACCTAGTGGGTGGTATCTCAGGCCGTGTTGTGGGTTCGTTTAGAAATTTTAGCGAGTCTGAGTAGGTTGGTCATGTGCAGCATGACTTGCAATCGACTAGGGACCTTAACCAACGTGTATCATTATCCCAAACCAATGGAACTGCTTGCTTGAAGCCTTTTTCTCGCCTAAAGACTTTACTCCTGTGGATCCCAAGACCAAAGGCAACATTCATTATCTCTTCTGAGGCAGTTGTCAAACCCCAACTACGTCAGTAATAGATTAGAGGACAAGGGAATTGAGGATAATGGTTGTTTGGACTACAATTAGTTGGAGGATGATGTTTGAAACTCTGATACAAAGCTCGATTTTTTGGCGGACAACATGGTTCATGGACAAACTATTATGGAAATCGAGTTGAATATAGACATTCTGTTTGCTTAAGTAGAGGAAGCTACGAAGGAAATCCCTTTTTTGAATCTGCTGGCAATCGGTAATGGCCTCATTCAGGTGGAGTACAATGAGGTGTTGGGGTGGGAAACTGAAGTCCAAACAAGGGGTTACCGGAAGCAAATGTACAATTTAGGCAAGGTGTCCATAAGGGTTTGGCAGAGTACATATAGGGTTAGAAATGTTACAGAATGCTCCCTAGCAGTTGCCCCAGTTGGGAAAGATAGCAAGCCCCAATTTGTCAATCAGAAAAAGATATTGTCCTTTCCTAATGTGTCTAAACCCTCCCATATAGTTAAATTGGGTATATTTTTTATTCTGTTTTAGCTACTAACCCTTGTTCTGTGCCTGAAGCTTTCATTTCAGCTTCCTGGGAGACCATCTTGTTGCAAGATGAGATTAGAATAGTGGGGGAGAAGGAGATTAATAGGGAGGGTGGAGTTTGTGCAGAAGAGGAGGAATAGACAAGGAGGATTTGGGAGATGATAAAGGGTTTCTTTGAGGATCTGAAGAGAAAAGAATTAGGGGTGGAAGATATAACAGAGGTGGAGGATGTAGGAAACAGGGATGAGGTTTGTGGAGAGGATTTTGGTGTGTCAAATATGAAAGAGGTTAAATTTGTGGAGGATTAGGTAGGGTTAGGAAAAGAGCAACCATTAAAGCACTATTGAGGAAAGAAAGGCCAGATATTCTCTTGATACAAGAATCTAAACTTCTTGTTTTTAGTCATTGGGCAAAAAGCATTTGGAAAAGTAGGGGTCTCAAATGGCAATATCCCCATCATAGGGGTTCTTGGGAGGGATAGTTAAATTGTGGAACAATGAGTCTTTGATTGGTGTTGAAGAGCTGGTGGGCAAATTCACTGTATCAATCAAATTTCGACAAGTGGCTGATGGTTTTGAATGGGTAATAGCAAATGCTTATGGTCCTAATGGGTATAGGGAAAGAAATGAGTTTTGGGAAGAATTGGAGGATATTAGAGTATTGTGGGATGGGTGTTGGTGTCTAGGGGGTGATTTCAATGTTATGAGATTGACAGGGAGACTAATAGCCCAAGATAGAGGATAAGTATGAGTATGAGGAAGTTTAATCAATTCATTGATGGTTTTGAGCTCAAGGAACTTCCTATGGCCTACAACAATTTTACTTGGTCCAACTTTCAAACCATCCCAATATGTTCCAGATTGGACAGATTTATACTCACAATGGATTGGGGTGATCATTGTGGTGACCTAGTGATGCAGTAGGGCTGGAACAAACTATCAGAAAACAGAAATGAGAGAGGAAGAGAGAGAGAGAGAGTAGAAAGGGTAGAGAATGAGAAAAGAGAGAAATCCCAAGGAATCACTCCAAGGGGTCCTAGAATCACTCCAGGGTTTGTAGGAATCACTCCATACAGCAAGAGAGCTCTTAAGAAATCTTCATTCATTCATTAGCTTAGAGTGACTTGTGGCCCGGAATACTGTTCACCATAATTACAAAAATGCCATTCCTTGTCTTGTGCGTCAAGAAACATAATAGCTTTCTATCTACTAATGCAAATAAACTGAAAATTGAAAGATAGGCCTTACTAAACTAGATGAACAAAGATGTTATAGCCTAGGCCCCACACAGGACTAGTTAAAATGACAAAAATACCCATACTGTCCAAATACACAAAAATACAGAATATTTAAGAAAATTCCAAATTTGATTCTTCTGCTCCTGTATTATTCTCCCCTAGTTCAAAAAAACTCGTCCTCAAGTTTTGAAGAACTTGAGGATGAAAAGTTGATGTACCCCAATGACAAAAGGAGTAGTAATTCCCAAATCTACTACAACCAACACTTTTGCATCTTGCACCTGAATTTCTTCAACTTGCTCCACTTCTATCTCTTCTTGATCGTTAGCCTCAAGTTGACCATGGGTGTTGGAAGTTCCTTCTTCAACAATTCTAATATTTCCCTGGCCAGCACCCTTTTGATCTTTAATGTTTACAACTTCTATAGGTTGAAATTCTTCATTCACAACTTTAGGTTTAGGACGGGCATCAGCATGCAAGAAATCATCTTCTTTATCTTCAACTTTGTACTTTCTTCTCATTGGCTTCAAATTCTTTGTTGTAGCCAGTTGCTTCTTCTCTATCTTGAGAGCCAATTCAAAGGCATGATCTGAGTCATAAATCTGAATTGTAGACAATTCATTCTTGATACCATCCCTTAGTCCATTCATGAAATAAACTGATTTGTGCCTTTCACTTTCTGTAATGTCACATCTAATATATAATTCATCAAACTTGTGCATATATTGAACTACAGATAGCGAACCTTGCTTGAGATTAGTCAACTCCACATATAATCATCATGGAAGTATTGTGGAATGTACTTTTCTTGCAAATACCTCCTCATYTTTGCCCATGTGGTAATAGGATATACACCTCTATTTTCTAGTCGTTACTCAAGAGTTCTCCACCATACTTTAGCAATACCCACAAGCTTCATGTGTGCAAATCTAAAACTTTGGTTTTCAGACATATCATGCCAATCAAAATATTCTTCTAGTATAGCAATCCAATCAAAGAATGTTTGCCGGTCTTCATCTCCCTTGAAAGTAGGCACTTCCCTTTCTCTCCTAACATTCTTGAAAACCTTACTAGGATGCCAGTTGAGCAAGGAACGTTCTCAGTTGATTGAGACATTTGAAGTGGTGACCTGTCCACGTGGTGGGAAAAGTGGTTCATCATGCTCCGAGTCAGGTTTTAAACATTGTCTAGTCATACACCAAAATCAAGTGGTTGTTTGGTACTGTGGTCATTTATTGAAGAAACATTTTGTATAGGATTTGTCTTGAAAAATGAGAATAAACGTTTATTTATTGTTTTTTGACAGTTAGGTGCCATTAGACACCATTAGGTGCCACATAAGCTGAACTGTAAATAAACAGCTGGGTGTTGGGGGAACCATTAAAAATGGTGTTTTCTGAACAGTTGGTTCTCACATAAACTTAGACAAACGTTTATCTAATAAATGTCTTACCAAATAGAATTTTGGAATAAATGCCTATGTGGCGATGAGCTGGTACCGTTTTTCAAATAAACGGCTATAGAACCAAACTCCATCCAAGTCAAAGGGATAATTTTGATCTTTAAAAGTAGGCTTCAAGAACAAGAAGAATATAGAACCTATAACATCAACTTTTCAAAGATCTAAGAAACTCTTCTGTGAGATGCCTCGAACTATTTTGACCCTAGTGTAACTGGATTTGTTCTTATGACACCAAAAAACCATAAGATAAAGCTTTTTCAAGAATAAAAAAGACTCAAATATTATGAATCACTACTGGATCAGGATTTATGATTTCTTTCTCTTCTATGATTTCTCTCTTCCATGTCAGTATTGATCATTACTTGCTATACATCCATATTGGCATCTTGAGAATTCTAAAATTTTTAGATATGTGAGGATAATTTTGTCTCTATATGATTGAATTGCATTTCTTAAAATATTAGACCCATTGACTTAGCTTTCCTTTTCTGTTATTTTATTTTCAAACAAAGTTTGTTATAGTTTAAAGTTAGTCCTACAGTATAAATGCAACTGCCATGGATCTTATTGCATTTGTCTTGAATTGTGTTGGCACTGGTATTCTTTGCGGCTTTGAACTTTTGATCCTTGGACAACAGCATCTGTTAAACAGTATATCTTTATTATTTTTCTTGCTGGTGTGATCTGTGGATGTTCTAATGGTCACTATATCATTATCACATTCCATAATCTTAAACTGATAAAGCTGCCAATAACGGATTTTACTGATGTCCTTTTTCCTTATTTTGCAGATTGAAAGGCATCCTCAACTTCCGAGAGTATTGAAAAAGCAGCACGTAGATTTCCTCAAATTGGCAGATTGAAGGAAAAAGGTAAATTTATGGTCTGCAGATTTATCAGATGACCATCCGTTTAATATTTTATGGGGCATGGTTCAGAGGTTACAGTAGTTCCTCCACTTGTTTAAGCAGGGGAGACATCAGAGGAGCATTGCATGGAGGATTAAGTAAACAATATGATTGACTTCTTGGTTCCCTTGCCAGCCACTGTTCCTATCTACAAAAGGGATTATTTTGTGGCAGGAGAGAAGGAAAATCAAGTGGAGGATTGTGGCAGAAGGAACCAAAAGATGACGTTTATGTGCGGTCCACATGTGCAAGGTCACTGGGCAAAAGGAATTGATGCCACTGCTGGAATTTTCCATCGATGGAATTAATGTCAAATGACAATGTAGTTCAATTATCTTGAAGGTTCTTTTCTGGGTCTGCAAATCAGTCTAGACATTGATTCTAGGTTACAGTTTACGTGATCCTGCTTGTTGCTGAATTATATCTCTACACCCTTTAAGGTGTTGACTTATTTTGGTTCTTTTAATTTCTTTGAACATTCCATGTGCATTAGGGGGCCGTTTGATGACAGCTGAAACTGAAATAGGTGCTGAAAAGATTCCACACTTGCTCAAAATCAGGGGTACTGCTCTGGCATATAATAAAACTTTGGAAAAGCAATGTCGAGAGATGTAGTAAGATTAGCAAGCTTTGTAATGTGCAAATGCATGGTTATTGATGGAAAAATTAAGATATGTATGAATATACTATAATGGTGTGCTTGGTTTGAAAGAGAAGGGTGGAGAAACCTGTACAAACCTTGTATGGGTTTTTCTAGCTTTCTCTTCCTTTCCCTACCTATTCTTTCGAATCAAATACAGCTTAAAAGTCTTAAGGTATTAATGACATTTTCGAAAAAGGGTGTACCACAACCATTTCTAGTGATTGTCACATGGCAAGGGTGCAATTGGCTTAGTGCCCATTCATTCCTCACATGCTGGTTGTCGTTAACTCATTGTGTATCGTGCTGTATCAATCGTGAGTTCGGATTTCCTCACAAAGTTGCTCCTCATGCCCACCTCACAACCCTTGCAGCTGCGTTGGGAACATTTCATGGGATGATGTTCCCAATGCACGGTTACAAGTGTTGTGAGGTGAGTGAGGAAATCCTCTAACTTGTAGAAAAGATGGGTATTGGATTGACATAGATTGATAAAGATCACGTGCCGGTTGCATAATTTATGTTTTCTGGTTTTAGGTTTCTCACTTTCTTGAGTGTCTGACAAACCACTTGAGATCTTGCATTGAAAACCGGAAAAAAGCTCATTAGAATTGAGAATAAGCGGATTTTATTGTCTTAGTAGATTCATGGATCTTTACAAAAAGTTAGAGAAATAAAAAAAGCATAAGAAAACTATTTTAAATGTTTTTGATGATAAGAAAGAACTGTAATATGTATCTATTAATGATATGTCAAATCCATTGGTCATCCACAACTTTATGTTAAAAATGTTTTTTTCTTATATCTTTGGTAATTAAGTATTTTAGTAAAAAAATAGAATAAGTATTTTAGTACTTGAAATTTATGAATTGTGTATGACATGATGTCTATATTAGAAATTCCAATGTAATTTTTTGATTAATAGTTTTTGTGAATTATTAGTTAATAATTTAATTTACAATGATATGTAAATAACAACATTTTGATTATTCATAGAAATAAAAAATATTTTTTACAAACTAGTCTTTCTTTTCTTAATTTACATTAGTGTTTTTCAGAAGCTAAACCCATCACCGTAATTTGTTTTAGGTTGGTTTACAAAATCAAAACAAATAAAATATAGAAAAATTGATCAAGTAATTAAAATATGTTAGTCTTGTATTTCAGGTCTTGGATATTTTGATTTATGGACTTGTGCATTTTCATGTATCTAGTATGTCTTTAGATTAATTTTATAATATAGTGGGTGATGTATTATTAGAAAAGTTATGTATGGTATCTGTTTCCCAAACTCTTGTTTTTGTAGATTGTAATGTATTCGTTCTTGTAGACTATTGATGATGTGGACAGAAAGGCAAATTACATGTAGTACTTCAAGTATACAGCAATAAGCACAAGAAATACCAATCTGAAAACATCAAAGAAGTTTGATTTTTAGGGATTTTAGATATGAACTTGAAGTAAAACTCCTCTTGGAACAGTTTCACTACAGTAACAATGGCAGCAAGTTGGCCTCCCGTGCAGACACACAGCGATGGAGGGATTGGAAGGTGCCAAAATGGGTTCACTCTTCAAAACCCAAGCTCCCAATGCTTGAAAACCTTAGATGGGGCTGAGCTACAGCTTAAACAAGAGAGAAAGAACTAAAAAGACCCCTACAAAAACAATCCCCTTCGCTTTTATAAGACTCACTGGCTTGTGGGACAAGCTAGTTAAAATATTTACACATAAGCCCCCAGAATGTTTCCCTCTCACCAACAACTCCTTAAGAATAAAACTAACTTCAAATGAACTCCTAAAAGATAACTTTTGCTACAAAAAAGACCCAAGAGACCAAAACCTAACAGAAATGCACCCAACTGCCCTTGACAAAAAATTGGCTTATAAAATGATGAAAATACCCCTGGTCCCAAACTATCAACAAAGCTACCCAAAAACAACAATTTGGGATCCCACTACAAGAAAAACATGCAAAACAGAATACATACACATTTTTTTCTTTTTTTTTTCTTTCTTTTTTTCCTTCTTTTTTCTTTTTTTTTTCTTGCCTCTTCATTCCCGTCGAGTTAAAAAGGGCTCGACCCCGTGCGAGTAGCAATTTTAGTAGCCTTGCACATATTTCCATCTAGCTTCATAAACTCCTCTTCACTAATCCAAGAGTTCTCAATTAATGGTTTTCCTTTCCACTTGACCAAGAACCTAAAATAGGCCCCATTTCGAGTGTTGGTGACTCGGACATTTTCTACACCCTTTACTTGTTCAAACTCATTAGAACTATTGGCCCTTTATGCTTGTCCTCGCCTATCCTTTGTTGCTGGTTCTAGGTCCCCATGGTAATCAAAGAGGTCCGCTACATTAAAAATGGGTGAAATGGACAAATCAGTTGATAGCTCAATTTCGTATGCATTGTCACCAAACCGTCTCAGCACTTAACATGGACCAATATTTTTCTGCTTCAACTTATGGTAAGTCCCAACAGGAAACTTCTCATGTCGCAAATAAACCATGACTAGATTGTTGTTCTTGGTAAGTCCCAACAGGAAATTTATCATAACAAAAATAGAATCATTACCTGTAGCTGTTCTTGGCAACCCCAACACAAAATCCATAGTAATATCAGTCCATGGTGCTTCTGGTATGGGTAAGGGAAGATAYGAACTTATATTTTGATGCTGCCCCTTCGATGTTTGGCACTTGTGACATCTATCAACATAATAGAACACATCCTTTTGTAGCCTTGGCCAAAAGTACCTTTTGAAGGCCATTTCAAGTGTATTTTTGCAACCAAAATGTCTATTGCAATGCAAATCAACAATGAGTAATGCCTTCAAGGATCCTGATGGAATACATAACCTATTGCCCATGAATAAGTAACCATCATTCCATACAAACTTGGCTTGAGTATCCTTGTCACCATCTATATAGCTTCTACAAATAGGGCCAAAATAAGGGTCATCTTGGTATTGGTCTTTGAAGGAGCTGAATCCGACAACATTAGTAGACATTGTTGACACCAAGTGAACTCTCCTACTAAGAGCATCAGCTACCCAGTTTTGTTGTCCAGTCTTACGCTTCAAAACAAAATTATATTGTTGTAGAAAGTCAACCCATTTAGCATGTCTTCCCCTTATTTTCTGTTGGGAGTTAAGGTGTTTCAATACTTCATGTTCTGAATACAACACAAACTCATGGTGGATAAGATAATGCCTCCAAAACTTCAATGCTTGTACAATGGCATAAAACTCAACATCATTAGTGGAATACCTCATTCTAGCATCATTGAGTTTCTCACTAAAGTAAGCAATTGGATGGCCTTCTTGGCTAAGGACAGCTCCAATCCCAACATGGGATGCATCACATTCAACTTCAAAGAGCTTGTTAAAATCAGGTAAAGCCACTATTAGAGCCTACGTCATCATCATCTTTAGCTCTTGGAAGTTTTTCTCAACTGTGGGAGTCCAAATAAACTCACCTCCTTTCAAGCATTCAGTAATGGGTGCCACAATAGTGCTGAAATTCTTTATAAACCGATGATAAAATGTTGCTAGCCCATGGAAACTACGAATTTTAGTTAAGGTCTTTGGTGTTGGCCACTTTTGAATAGCTTGAACTTTTTCTTAGTCCACCTCAATTCCCTTGGCTGAAACAACATATCCCAAAAACACCAACCGATCTGTCATGAAATTACATTTCTTTAAAATTATATATAGCTGATTTTATCTCAAGACTTCTAGGATTGCTCTCAAGTGTTCTAAGTGGTTGTCATGATCTTTGTTGTGGATGAGTATGTCATCAAAATAAACTACCACAAACTTCCCCATGAACGGCCTTAAAACTTGGTTCATGAACCTTATAAAGGTGCTAGGAGCATTAGACAACCCAAAAGGCATAACCAGCCATTCATAAAGACCTTCCTTAGTCTTGAATGCAGTCTTCCACTCACCCCCCTCTTGGATACGAATTTAGTGGTATCCACTCTTCAGATCTATCTTTGAGAAGACTTGTGATCCAGCCAATGTGTCTAACATGTCATCAAGGCAGGGTATGGGAAACCTGCATTTAACTGTAATCTTGTTAATGGCATGACTGTCAACATACATACACTAATTACCATCTTTCTTTGGTGTGAACAAAGTTGGTATAGCATATGGGCTTAAACTCTCATGGATCAGCCCCTTCTTCAACAACTTTGTTACTTGTCTTTGGAGCTCCTCATGCTCCTTAGGGCTCATTCTATAGTGGGGTAGGTTAGGCAAGGTTGCTCTCAGCATTAAATCTATATGATGTTGTACATCTCTTAGGGGAGGAAGGCCATCAGGTAGCTCTTCAGGCATCACATCAGCATACTCATGAAGTAGCTTCTTCACCAACTCTGGAACAGGTGTTTCTTTGCTAACTTCTTTTGCAACCAGCACGTAAACAACATCCAAATTCCCATATTCTCGAGCCAATTTATTTGAGGTGAAGAGAGTAGCGGTTGGCTTTGTTTCCTTCTTTGGAAATGAATCAAGTTGCATTGGTTTATGAGTTATCTTCTTATTTCCTTTTGCAAGTTGCATTGGTTTAAGAGTTATCTTCTTATTGTCCCCATCATGAATGGTCTTACAGTCATATTGCCATGGGCGACCCAAGAGAATTTGGCATGCATCCATTGGGACAACATCATACCATACCGATTCTTCAAATGTATTACCGATAGAAAAATTAACTAGGCATCTAGAAGAAACTCTTACCTCATTTTCTTTGTTGAACCACGAAATACGATATAGTCGGGGGTGTTGAACAATCTTGAGCTGTAATTTATCCACCATCTCTTGAGAAACAAGATTCTCGGTACTCCCACTGTCAATAATCAAGTTACACAACTTCCCACCAGCTGTACAACGTGTTCTAAAGATATTCTTTCTCAACCAGTCCCCTGGTAGTGGTTCTTGAGGTGCAACCATAGAGTGTCATATCACTAGAGCC